TATATATATATATATATATATATATATTGGTGTCACAGGGATGATTAAACTGGTAATTTAAGATACCTGTTTGTTTGTGTGTGTTGGTTTCTAGTAAATATAGGTGAGTAAGATGGCAATCTTCTTTGTGAGCAAGGACATCCAAAACGGGTTGAGTTTTGTTTTCATCCAGTTGAACCATGAACTTGATGTTGTGTTTTAAGTTGAGGTGAGATAGAAAGTCTGTAATTGTTTTATCTCCACATTTCCAGATTGCACTGTTAAAGTAACACTCCCAGAATTTTGGTGTGAGAGATAATGAGGTCAGGACCATAAGTTTGAATTTGGCCATGAGAAGCCTTGAGAACAGAACCCATTTCTAAAGCATCAGTCTCTTCAAAGGAAGTATCCTGAAATTGGAAATATGAATTGTTCATACAGATGGTTATTAATTCCCGAGTGGTTAGAGTAGTGCTTTATCAGATTCTAGTTTTTGTTCAGTAATGATAAGTACTTCTGAAACTGAGAACACATAATTTACATTAAAACTGAAAAGCAGATCACTTGGAGAATATATCAACCTCTTTATCTATGTATCTTCCTTTAACCCAAGCAGACGCTTCCAGCATTCAGCCAAAAATCCCAATTTACCCATCTGTCAGTATCTGATAACGTGTATGTCTCTTTGGCTATAAACTATTCAAAACCATGTTACTATTCACCTTTCACAAATAGGCCAGAAATTTTTATAAAATATGGTGATAATTATCAGGACATTGTGACAATAATTCTGGCAAAAATTATGGGTTTAAAGAGTTAATGAAGTTCATAAATTCTCCAGTCAACAGTAACACTACTGTTGACTGCTGTGAGTAGGTGTGATAAGATGGGCACAAGAAACTTGGCAGTATGGTGGCAGGGAGACTATATTTGGCCAACAATGGGTCTGAGAGAAGCTTCTTTTGTAGGCCATATATCTGAGGAGGATGGGAGCCTGGTTCTTTGAGCATTTGGTGATCCTCTAGGGAAGTTTTATTTTGTAAAAGTCATTTCAAAATATCGATTGCCATTGCTTTTTTGAAAAACCCTATTCACAAACAGAATGAAAGTGTTAATACAACAAACATCAGTTTTTCTTTTCTTAAAAACAATGAAGTAACATTTTTTAAAGTTATGTAAGAAAAAGTCAATCAAATGCAATAACCAAAGATATAGGCATTTAAAAAAAAAAAACTGGTTTACTTTATTAACTAAAGTTCTATGTTCAGATTGGGTTTTGCTAGTTTCATTTTGCTAGATATTGTGAAGTTTTATATTAAATTTAAATACAATTACAGTTTGTTTTGTTTTAACACAGTTGGCTGTCTGCCCTGAGAATTGGGTGCCAAGTTTTATGGTTATATTAATATAAACACGGGCCTCTTATTGAAACCCATAAAATCCCTTCGTTTTGAACTATTATTTCTGTTCTAGATACGCAAAAACAAAAGAAAAATCTGTATCCATATTTTCAAACAAAAACAAGGACGCAAAATTTTTGACATTTTAGTCATTTATATTACCATAATTATAAAGTACATATTTGTGGAAATACAAGAATGTGGTAGCGTTCTTTAAGATGAGCTCGCTCACTTTTACAGTGAGTTGGACACAGGATCAAAGTGATAGAAACTTCTACTCTTCCCATGTGTAATCTTTACGTCAATAAATGGACCCCGTCACACCAAACATGCTCGCCCTTTCAGCCGTGGGGGCGTTATAATGTGACGGTCAATCCCACTATTCGTTGGTAAAAGAGTAGCCAAAGAGTTGGCGGGGGGTGGTGATGACTAGCTGCCTTCC